TATAATAAAAATATTGAAATAAAAGATAATGAAATAAAAAATATTGAAATAGAAGATAAAGAAATAGAAAATATTGTAAAGATAATAAAATAGAGGATAATGAAATAAAAAATAGTGAAAAAGAAAATAGTGAAATAAAAAATAATCAAATAAAAGACAATTAAAATTTTAATGAAATAAGTGATTATAGTTATATAAATATTTATGATCCAAGTCAATAGAAAAATATTGATATAAAATTAAGAGATTTATTATTAGAAAATGGTCTAACTAGATATAATAATTTAGATATTTTCCGAGATAAACTCTCTAGACATTTTTTCATTACACATTATATTCACAAATTAACAAATGAGGAAACACTTAATAGAAGATGGCTAGTATATTCAAAAGATTTGGATAAAATATTTTATTTTTGTTATAAGTTATTCAATATGAATCATTGTACAAGTAAACTAAATTATTCAATAACTAGTCATAACCTGTGTCTGAAGGTACGATAGAACATAAAATTCAAGCCTCTAAAAAATTGATCTCATTATATTAAATAATAATTTTGTTATCATTCATTTCTTTGATTATATTATTTAAATTTTTCTCAAAATATGTAATTTGATAAAATACGTATACTATCGTGTATGGAATCTAGATAATGTTTAAAATAAAAATTATTCAAATATTAAATAATTAAACATGTGATAGAAATAAGTGATGTGATAGTTTTAAAGGAGAAAATGTGTGGGGGATAAAATTCAATTTTTTGTGTTTTATTATATAGATATAATTATAACCGGTGCCTAAAAGCATGATGAAACATAAGATTTGAGCGTTTAAAAAATTGATTTCACTATATTAAAAATAATTTTTTATTTGTTCGTTTATTTGATTATATCATTTAAAATTAATTTTTATCTATTATTTTTTAAAAAGTAATATCAAAATTTTCTCAAAATATATAACTCGAAAAAAATTTTCAATACGTGTACACTATCATGTATAGACAATGTATAAAACAAAAATTGTGTTAAACTATAAATTAATTAAATATTAAATAATTAAACATATGATAGAATGAGTTATAGGATGGTTTTGAGAGGGAAAATATATGTGGGATAAAAATTCAAATTCCTAGGTGTTTTATTATATAGACTAGTCATAATCCGTGCCTGAAAGCACGATAAAATATAAAATTCGAGCGTCTAAAAATTGATCCTATTATATTAATTTTTTTCAAAATATATTAAATACAAATTAATCAAATATTAAATGATTAAATATATGATAAAAATGAATGATATGATGTTTTTAGGAAAGAAATATATAAATGATTAGACATATGATAAAAATAAGTGATGCGATTTAACGTTTGAGTCTGACAAAAGGATAATGAGTGAGATAAATGATTGATGATGGTTTTGAGAAAAAAAATATGACTGAGATAAAATTCAAACACACTCCTGTTTTCTTATATAGATGTTATAAGTTGAATCAACCACTGAACTACTTTTAAAAATTTCTTAACTATTTCATTCATTTAAGATACATTATGTAAAGAAGTAAGATTTATATTTCTCATTTGTAGATTTTTTACTAAATAATGATACCATGTGGTGATAATAACATGGTATCACTGATACGGTAAATATTTACTCCTTCAACTAGAGAGGGGCATTCCTCTTTAGATCTATTCTTGAGGATTCTAGTGAAATAAGGATTTTATTGTCTTCTCAAGATAGATGGAGTGTAAAAGATGTAAGATTTCATTGCATCGTTGAATTTAAAGAATGTGTGGTTAGAATGAATCTCCGTGACACAATAGAAAGTAACATGGATGACCTATGTATTGTTTGATTAAGTCCGTAAATTATATCTGTAAATTATGTACATAATTATTAAACTTTTCATAATTATATCTGTAATTTAGGTCCATAATATTAGGACTTATTGACAATCAAATAATTATAATCATTAAATTCATAAATTATATCCCAATAGAATTGTCCATTTTATAATGTCCTTTAAACTTTTTCAGTTGTCTGATCTGAGCTGAGTCTTTTACATTTTTAATATGGTTTTAATGAGTGCCGTCTTTCCATTTCAAGCGTTAAACGAGACAGTTCCGGACTTGAGAACTATGTGCTATTATTATTTAGGGTTAAATACATTAAAGGTTCCTAAAATATAGAATTTGTCTCATTTTATTCTTTAATATTTTAATTATATTATTTTGATTTTTAAAGTATTGAATATATTTTTATGTGATCTTTCAAACAGACAATATTTAAATTGTTAATAGTTTTTGATTATAAACTTATCACGTGATTCCTAAATACGGAGAAAAAATAATGTGGATAACTCTTGATCAAAATTTGGGTAACTCTTGACAAAAAATATATATAATATGGATAGCACTTGAGTAAAATTTGGATAACTTATAATCAAAACTATGTAATTTGAGTAATTTTTTGACCAAAATTTAGGTAAAATTTTGGTCAAGAGTTATCCGAATTATTTTTTACTCATATTTAGGTATTACGTGACAAGTTTATAATAAAAAATCGTTAACAATATGGACGTTGTCTGTTTGAGGGATCACATAAAAATATATTCAATACTTCAAGAACTAAAATGATCTATTATTATTTATTAGGGACAAAATCTATAATATAAAACATAATAAATTTCAATAAATTTATTTGACAATTTTAAATAAATTCATCAAATGGCCTGGGCCGACCCAATAGAAATGTCACTTAAGCAATTACTTAGGGCCCCCCAAAAGAAGGGCTTCCAAATAATAAATGTAGTCTTTAAATGTAATTTAAATTGGATCAAAAAATTTTGGTTTATAAGGTCCAATCTAAAGGAAATTCTTACAAGACTTATACTTCGTTTGATATAAGGAAAAATGGAAGGATGAACAGTTGGAGGAATAAATAAAACATCATGTGTTGGTAAAGAAGAAAAATAGGATGGATGAAAAAGTGGATGAATTAACTTTTCTTCCAATTCACAAAAATCAATCTCTCCAAAATTGGATGAAAAAATAATTATTTGTGTTGAGATGTATCTTATTTGTTTATATAACTTATTATATATACATATATTATGTATACATTAATTTATTATAAAAATACAATTATAAAATATGTATATGTATATATATTTTAAAAAATTTTAAAAATAAAAAATAAAAAATTTAAATTAAAAAAATATTTTTCCCATTTTAATTAGTGGTGAAATTTTTTAACTAATACGATGATACAATTCAAACTCGACACCAATTTTATGACACAAATTTTTTAACTCGAACACAAATATGACACGAAAACAAACATGTCAACTTGTAATTCAATACGACATCATTAGTTATATGAGCTGAATTAGGTGTAACTAATGTTTAACACAAACCGGCAATGACTCAACACGATACGATTCGATTGTCACCCTTAATCTTAGCCAACAAAAAAAAAATTAGTTATTTTATTTTCCATCCATCTAACTAAACACAAAGGAAGAAAAATGTATCATTCTTACTTTCTTTCCTCGAAGGATAAAAAATATATCTCTCCTACTTTCCACCTTCCCTACCCAATGAAACATTAGACTAAAACAAGGCTCCATTTCACATTTCTCTCTCACTTTGTCCAATGGTTAGAAGACTTTAAAGTTCTAAAAAACACGCAAAAAAATATATTTTTCACAATTAAAGCCTAAACATCTATTGTGTACCTCCCCCCCTCCCTCTCTTTTTCGCACCAAGTAAAAAAAGTTTATACAATATATGTATCTCTGTTTTACAATCTATATTAAATTGAAAAGGTACATATTTGTTTAATCAGTAATTTAATTTTTTAATATTTTTATTAATAGAATTAATTTAATGTAATTATTCTTTCTTGTTGTTTAAGTTTGAAATAGTAGATGATTTGGAAAACAAATAAATCGTCAATTCAAAGTTTATATAATTTTTATTTATCAGGTGATATTATTTAATTCTTGTTGACTTTTGTAAGATATTAGATTGTTTTCTTAATATAATTATTTGTTATTTTAAAATATATTTTATTAACAAGAATTTTTAGTTTGAAATATGTAAAATTTCTACCAAAAAACTCATAAAATTCTACTAAAGATCAACAATGGCACAAAAAAGACTGAATAGATTAGTCATATTATCCATTAAGTAAGAGATACTAGCAAAACTCAAATATAAAAATTTAATTACTAATATTGCATCATAAAAAATGAAAAAAATAAGTTTTAAATAAAATTTTAATCATACAATATATATATATATATATATATATATATATATATTATAAATTTTAATAGGGCCCCATTTAACACTTTTGCTTAGGATCCCAATTTTCATTTGGCCGGCTCTGAACAACACCAATAATAATGCTCAATTGTAAGCTAAGCGTTTTGAGTTTGATCTATGGAAATAATCACTAGGCATCTGTAAGGTTGCGCCCCCTTTTATGTGTGTGAAGTGTAACTCAGACTCGTGGCAACGTAGAAAGAAAGTTTTCTATTATAGTCGTGCACTATTTGATAAAATAGATGAAAAATAGAAAGAGTTTATAATATAAAACTTCAAAATTACGATTAATATATCTTTCATCGAAAATCTGCCTGCCCTCTCAGTCACCTCATTTGTCAGAGACTCCCAGCGACACCAAGCCATCCCTTCTCTCAGAGAAGCCATACCCCCCTTTNCAGGACGTCTTCAAAATTACGATTAATATATCTTTCATCGAAAATCTGCCTGCCCTCTCAGTCACCTCATTTGTCAGAGACTCCCAGCGACACCAAGCCATCCCTTCTCTCAGAGAAGCCATACCCCCCTTTCTCTNTGAATGATATGATGTTTTTAGGAAAGAAATATATAAATGATTAGACATATGATAAAAATAAGTGATGCGATTTAACGTTTGAGTCTGACAAAAGGATAATGAGTGAGATAAATGATTGATGATGGTTTTGAGAAAAAAAATATGACTGAGATAAAATTCAAACACACTNCACCTCATTTGTCAGAGACTCCCAGCGACACCAAGCCATCCCTTCTCTCAGAGAAGCCATACCCCCCTTTCTCTCTCTTTATCTCTCTCTTTTACGCTCCAGAGACACCACCAGGAACACCACCACCATCGCCACTTCATCTGCAACACCACCACATCGCCAGCGCCATCGCCAGCGCCAACGACACAGCCACCACCACTGCCACAGCCACAATCACAACCACACCACTCCCAGGTATCCTTCTTCTCTGGTTCTCTCCGCCCCGACCCTCTGCTTCTCTCTCTCCTCTGCTTTCACACACACACAATGCATACACANTCTTATATAGATGTTATAAGTTGAATCAACCACTGAACTACTTTTAAAAATTTCTTAACTATTTCATTCATTTAAGATACATTATGTAAAGAAGTAAGATTTATATTTCTCATTTGTAGATTTTTTACTAAATAATGATACCATGTGGTGATAATNATACACTCACACACACAATAAATTCAAAATTAGGGCTGTTAATTGGAGTAAATTGATGTTAATTTGTAGTTAATAGGGTTGTGTCTCTTCCTCTCTGTCTTCATCTCTGCACNGGTGATAATAACGTGGTATCACTGATACGGTAAATATTTACTCCTTCAACTAGAGAGGGGCATTCCTCTTTAGATCTATTCTTGAGGATTCTAGTGACATAAGGATTTTATTGTCTTCTCAAGATAGATGGAGTGTAAAAGATGTAAGATTTCATTGCATCGTTGAATTTAAAGAATGTGTGGTTAGAATGAATCTCCGTGACNCCCTCTCTTCATCTCTCCCTCTCTCGCCCTCCCTATTCCTCCCTGTGCATCCCGCTGTTGCTCCACCCTGCACATGAAGTGTTTGTTGAAATTTCTAAGAGCTCCTCCTCCTCAACCACTGCTCATTTTGTGTCAATTTATGGTTCCAATTATCTAATCCAGGGTTTAGGGATATAAAATTGGGGCAAATTGTATTGATTTTAAATTAAAGAATCAAAATTTTCATTATTTAAATGAGTTTGAAATCATAAAATTGAGCTAGTGGGGATTCGAAGACCAGTCCCAAGCATTAGAAACTCTTCCAATTGGACCCATCCAAGGTATAGCTAGTGCCCAACTCTTTCTCTGTTTCTCTCTATATAGGTTAAAAAATGTGTATATCTATATTGATATATGAACTCTGTTCGGTGTTGTTCAAAGTTCCAAGTTTTGTGTATGTTCCGGAGTTCTATGCTTTGTTTCTATGGTAGTATGTATTTAATTGGAGAATTCAATTTTTTTATTTTTTTTTTCTGGTGTTGCCCATGCGAAAAGTCAGCTATATTGTTAACAAGTGGAAGATTTTGGTTGCTTTGTGTTAAAGTTTCACTATGCAAAGATAATTTTAATACTCATATGGAAAGTGAAAGTCTTTTCTCTTTCCTCTGTTTAAANAGACCCATCAACCATACACTCACACACACAAATAAATTCAAAATTAGGGCTGTTAATTGGAGTAAATTGATGTTAATTTGTAGTTAATAGGGTTGTGTCTCTTCCTCTCTGTCTTCATCTCTGCACACACACACACAAACCTCCCTCTCTCGCCCTCCCTATTCCTCCCTGTGCATCCCGCTGTTGCTCCACCCTGCACATGAAGTGTTTGTTGAAATTTCTAAGAGCTCCTCCTCCTCAACCACTGCTCATTTTGTGTCAATTTATGGTTCCAATTATCTAATCCAGGGTTTAGGGATATAAAATTGGGGCAAATTGTATTGATTTTAAATTAAAGAATCAAAATTTTCATTATTTAAATGAGTTTGAAATCATAAAATTGAGCAAGTGGGGATTCGAAGACCAGTCCCAAGCATTAGAAACTCTTCCAATTGGACCCATCCAAGGTATAGCTAGTGCCCAACTCTTTCTCTGTTTCTCTCTATATAGGTTAAAAAATGTGTATATCTATATTGATATATGAACTCTGTTCGGTGTTGTTCAAAGTTCCAAGTTTTGTGTATGTTCCGGAGTTCTATGCTTTGTTTCTATGGTAGTATGTATTTAATTGGAGAATTCAATTTTTTTATTTTTTTTTTCTGGTGTTGCCCATGCGAAAAGTCAGCTATATTGTTAACAAGTGGAAGATTTTGGTTGCTTTGTGTTAAAGTTTCACTATGCAAAGATAATTTTAATACTCATATGGAAAGTGAAAGTCTTTTCTCTTTCCTCTGTTTAAATGATATGTTTCATTCATTAATTGATGTATGGGATCCAACCCATTCAAATCTAAATTTCCAAATCTACATTCCAATAACCCCATATCCATTTAAAAAGATTTCCGTCTATGATTATGTTTTTTGACATTTTATGGTTTTCTAATTGTGTATTTATGTGATCTTAGATTTCAGAGCAGCACATTCTCTGTTGCCAAAATTGGTACAAATATCATGGCCCAAGGACAAAAGAATAAGGTATTTAATTTTTGTTACATGTGTTCAGTAGAATGACTTCGAGGTCGTGGAATTGGGAGAAGTTTTGGCTTGGAAAGTTTGAGTATTTAGTTTTATTGATTTCTTCCAAGGCCTAGATTTTCATGTTTCTAAACGTGGAAAGTCTATGATTTTTGGTGGGTTTATTGAATAATTTTGAAATTTTGATACATTTTTTGTCTTTGGATTTTGTCAGAATGTCTGTATGTGTATGGTAGGTTATTTAATGTATCAAAATGTTTGTTTGACTTCATATAGCTTTGCTTAAGCATATAGCTAATGATTCCACTTTTCATTTTTTTTAGTTCATAATACTTTTGTGGGTGGAATCTTAATTTGGCTAGCGTGTGACTACTAGAGGATGGTCATTTAAGAGTCCATTGGGGGTCAACTTTACTCTAATTATAATCTTTANTTTTTTTTAGTTCATAATACTTTTGTGGGTGGAATCTTAATTTGGCTAGCGTGTGACTACTATAGGATGGTCATTTAAGAGTCCATTGGGGGTCAACTTTACTCTAATTATAATCTTTAGGTGGTGCAGTACATAATTATGTATATAACATTGTATATGTTATAGATTTGTGTATATTGGTCTAATTTGAAGCTCTTTGTGGCTCTATGGTTTTTAATGTGAAAACAACAAGTTCAAGCGCCTGGGGCCACAACATGTTCATGGAACACACTGCGGTCTGCAAAACCAACCCACCAACCCCACCAAAAAACCCACCCACCCTCACAAAAACACATGCACGCACAAAACACACACACACACACACACACACTCTCTCTCTCTCACACACACACAAACGCAGAACACACCCAAATACCTCACCCTTACCTTTATCCCAAACCCTTTGCTTTTCTGTCAATACACATACACATAACATACTCAAACACTATCTTCAATTTTGAGAACTCGCTTAGAGTAGGTTCAATTTGAATTCGGTTTGATTAGATTCAATTTAATGCGAGTATTATAGATAGGTTTGATTTGATGTGAATTTTGTATTTACTTTAGCTTCGATTTGATGCAAATTTTGTAATTACTTTCTCCCCTTTTGTTCATTGGTTTTTTTGATTTTATTTGTTTAGGTTAATTTTGTATTTGTTTAGGTTAATTTTGGTATGGAAAATCTGTATTTTGTTGTGTGGTTAAATGTGAATTCATTGTATGACTTTATGAGTGTGTTTTAAGAAGTACTTTTTGATCTATGATTACTATCTCATGGTGCACGTACTGGATTATATACTTTTAAGGAGGCCGTGGCTATTTTTTAGTTTTTCTAATATAGGCTACATACAAATGTATTCTGATTGCTTATGTAGATGTTTATTAGAAATAACCATACTATAACCATAGCCTTCCAGATTTTTCCGGTGTACATAAATAATTATTATGAAGTTTCTTAAAGTTAATAGGACTAATTGTTGTAGTTTTGGTTGAATTATTTGATAGGTTTGTTTTGACAGTGGAATAAAGCTTTTCTTGCTTAGCAAAACATATGGCAAAAATGTTCATGGGACTATCAAGTGCTTTTTGCATGATTTAACATTGGTGCAAAGTTGAATAGTCACACATTGACTTATATTCAAATCTGGGTCTTCTCTTTGGCGGTACTTCTTCCACTTTAGGTATCAAGTTCTTCACACTTTATTATTTCTTAGCATGATTTTTTATAGTTTGTTTGGTGATAGTTCAAGAAGAGATTTATGTCAAATTTTATTGATTGGAATTGTTAGTCATTCTTTTGGTTTGGGAATTCTACATATTTATGTACGTGTATCTCTATATAGGTGTTATGGACATATGTGAGTTGTGCCGTGGGATTAAATGACTTTATGCTTGGATTGGAACATTGGGACTGATGTTAGGGGCAACAATTGATTATGCAAATAGAATAATGAAGATTAGATCTACTTGGTGCTACAACAACCATACTTGATGTCACTGCCTAGAGTTTTTTTTATGGTTTTTCTTTTTAATAGTTTTTGGTAAGAAGTAACACTTCATTTCATAGGAAGTAATNGTCTAGAGTTTTTTTTATGATTTTTCTTTTTAATAGTTTTTGGTAAGAAGTAACACTTCATTTCATAGGAAGTAATATAAGTACAATAAAAGGTGGATGAGAACAATGAACTATATGTATTATGTTGTTTAGGCTTGGTTGTTTGCTGTTGCATTATAATAAATTTGTATCTTTATGTCTTACTACATTTTTCTTTTGTCTTTTCCATTATTCTGTCTTCTTAGGTTTCTCATCATATTTTATTCAACTCTGTGTGGTTCAAACTACCAGTGCTATGAGGAAAATTTTTTATTGAACTTCGAATGAATTCTTCAATTTAATGTACTCTCAAGAAAAAAAATATTGCTTGGTTTTGCAAAATTCTAATATGCTATGATTTGACTATTGTAAGTGTAATTCTTCACAATTCGGTGCAACTATCCTTTCAAGGATTAAAACCTCTATGGGCAATTTTATGGGGTGTTTTTTATGGCTTTGTTGATATGATATTTTTACCTCCCTTGATCTTTAGCACGGAAAATCATGCTTTTTTTTGAAATTCCTTACACAAGTGGCCTTTAACCACCACACCACAGCCAATTTCAACCAACTAGCCCATATCCGCCATCAGCCTCACACTCTAAGGCCCACAACTAGAATGTTGGGTTCCTTATAAAATGTGTTGGAACCTGTTTGGACTACATAGGCAAAGATTTTATTATAATTTCTAAACACTTATGGCATTCAATTATACATTTTTTATGTTTTGTGGGCTATGTTTATTTTTGGGTGTTTTGAAGATTTGTAGTCATGGGTGGCCTTTAATTGCAATTGAAAGAGTCGGGTCTAGTGAGATTGGGTAATTTAGCAATAATTTTTCTTTTACTACTACTTCTAGAAACATTTCGATGTATAAATTTTTGGGAAATTTATGAAATATGAAACTTTTGTTTGTGATGTCTCCGTATGCTTAGAATTCTTCGAGTTTTAATTTAAGACATAAAAGTAACTAACATATAGTTTACCGCATGTGCTTGTACTTTTATATCTTTATATATGAAATTAAATTCTATCATAATTGAAAACAAACAAAATCTATAATATAAAATAGGGCATATTTTAATAAATTTATTTAACGGTTTCAAATAGACTCATCTAATAGCCACTAATATCTTTCTTTAAATTATTCATATTGTACCGTGCCTTCAAGGCACGGGTTATCCCTAGTATATTGATAATAAGAGACATAAAAATAATTAACATATAGTTTACTACACGTGCCTATCTTTTTGTCTAATTTTTACTTTATTTTTAGGGGATTTTCTTTTTTAAAATTCTCATTTGGACGTGATTCTAACAATCTTTATTCAGTTGGATGTATGCTTGTCAACGTATCGGGTTTGAATTGAATTTTGACTAATTCGAATTCGAACTTGATTTCAAAAGGTTGATCCGATAATTTGATGAATTTTATTTGCATGATTCATATTCAAATCCGTTAACAATCTGGAATCTAATTCGATCCGAATAACTTAATTAACTAAATTTTAACAAATTATACCTAAATTTCAACCAAATTTTTAAAAAAGTCACTTAATTTCTTTTATATTTATACAGAAATATATAAATAATTTGAATCAAATTAGATATAGGTATATTCGAATCCGAATCCGAATCCGAATCTATGAAATATAAGATATCAAAATCATATTCAAATTCAAATAATCGGTAAAAAATATTAATTTATATCCGATTAATCAAATTTAAATTTCGATTGATTTCGAAGCAAAGTCTGATTCATTAATAAGTCTACTCAGATGCCCTCCAAAGGGGAAGCCTTTGATAGACTAGAAAAATAATAATGTCTCTACTTTTAATTCCTTCTTAACTGATGGTTTTGTACAACTGATAATTGATAATTAGTACAAATAATAATTAGGAATTTAATGCTACTCTTTATCTTGTGAAGATTTTGTTTTTTTGATGTCAAGAGTTTAAACCCTCTTCTCCCCTCCCTCACCCCCCTCCAAAAATAAAAAAATTTCAAAGATAAAAAAAACAATAAAAATAAGATACAAAAATATAATACAGTTCGATATAGCATACATTCCTGGTACACTATACCTATAACTACAAACCAAAAACTTATATCTATGTATTATTCATTGAAAAATTGGTCATCTGGTATTTAATTACATACACAGCCCTATTTAAAGGAATAAAATACCGTAATCTAAACCTATTCAGATACATTTTAATCTTTATGTTTTCTTATTACAAGTCTAATATACTTGGTATATTAAAACTCTTCCCATTTGTTTTCTATCAATGGTTTATTAACACTCTCACATTGATTACCCAACAAACTCTCCTTCATAACAATTAGAGAGTTTGGACCAAATTTTAATAGTCTGCCTAAAACCAAACTCTTCCAATTTGCTCCTACCAAACATCAAGCTTAGCTAGCTTAATTCTGATCTACCATGTTTTTCAAACACCACATACAAACCTACTCTTTTGAGTTTCCATAATTCTCTTTGTTTTTCAAGAGCTTGCGTCTTGGTTTGCATTATTTGTGCATCTTTGCTCGTATCTTACTTGCTCTTGTGAGGTCTCAATGGCCCAATGTATCATAACCCACGAGAAACTATATCATCACTATTGGGTTTATGTCAACTCAATAGCTTCAAAACCATTGGAATATCGTTAATTCAACTCTACGAGCCCAAAACTTGAAGAAACATCTTCAACACAGAACATGTGATAATTTTTGAAATCCAAACAATCAGGAAGCAACTTAGTTGTCTGTTTGAATTCATACCAATTTTAATTTTTTTTTCTTGTGAATCTAAACAAAAATATAAATTGTACATACGTGGCAAGAGTCTTCTTCAACATGAACATCAACGTGATCATTGAATTACTAATAACTTGTTTTGATTGTTGCATCAGGATCGTCAATTTAACTTTAATACCACTATCAGGAATATAACTCTAATATCACTTGTTAGTTTTATACAACAAATAATTAACACAAATAATACTTATTAGAAGATAAAAACCAAAAGATAAGAAAACAATAAAAACATGAGACAAAAATATAACGTGGTTCAGTATAACATACATTTCTAATACACTGTATCTATGTATCGAAGACCTACATCGATTATCTGGTAACTGAATGCATAATATACATCCTTATTTATGGAGATAAAATATTATAATCGATACCTATTTAAATACAATTTGATCTTTATGTTTCTTATTTCATATATAATAATATATTAAAACTCTTTCAATTTATTTTTTATTTAATTTGGTCATTATTAAATCTATCAATGATTTATTAGGACTCTTACATTGA